TCAATTGAATTAATTGTCTTAAAGTTTGGATATGTTTTGAGACAAAGATATTATTAATTATAATATTGTGTTCATTATCGACCATCTGTTCATCGAAGTGGACATCCGTTGCAGTGATGTCTTCGAGCACTTCCAATATGTTTTGTTCGCGTTGTAATGAGGGCTTCGAGGAAAGGGAGAAAATCGTCAATTCCGGTAATTATCACCCCATCTGATCCGTACCACCAATGGATCCCTTGTCTCTACATATTGTTTATAAACTATATTATTTATAATTCATACCAATTATCACCACAATTAATATACTGTTTAAATATTATTAGTCATCATGTATCCCACAATTCGTGGTATTTTTGGCTAAAACTTAAATCTTAAAACATTTTTACAAAACTTTGACCTCAAAGAGGAATTTAATTTTTAATTTAATTTATAATATATTGAAAATATTTATCTAAGACATCGAAAACATAATTATTATTAAGTTCTTACATTTATTTCATTTAATGGGAGTGTAATTTGGTGCCAAACTTTGCAAATATAGCCCATAATTGAGACCAGATGTTAGCCTTAATGTGTTTCGTGAAGGTCGAGGACCTCCACACCACCCCCACTATACCCCATAGTCTTCACAATGTTATAAATATTAATTTAAGACAATTTCCAATTGATTAGTGATTTTGTTACAATTTATATCTTAAAATCAAATGACCACATTATACCGCATTATAGATATACAGTACCTGAATACATTGTATCTATTGCTATGTTAGATAATTAACTTTAGTTTAATGAAAATGAATGCAATATTAATTGTATGCATTGGTGGACAGGGGGTGAGGTATGGCATCAGTCATGCTTCGTATGCGCCCAATGTTTCCGTCCGTTTAGCAAAGACGCGATCTTTTATGAATTCGAGGGCAGAAAGTATTGCGAACACGACTTCCATGTGCTGTTCGCCCCGTGTTGTGGTCACTGCCATGAGTTTGTCATCGGTTTGTCCATTCATTTCATTTCAGACAATATTAGTTGCATTACTCATTCAAATTCATTTAAAGGTCGGGTAATCAAAGCGCTGAACAACAACTGGCACCCCATGTGCTTCAGGTGCGAGTTATGCCAAACTCCTCTCGCAGACCAGGGATTCTTTAAAAACACCGGTATTTCTCATAAACATTGAATATAATGCAGAAGTTGTTCATTAAATACTTTTAAAGGTCGAGCCCTTTGTCACGACTGCAACGCCAAAGAGAGAGCCGCCGCTATCGGCAAATATATTTGCTTTAAGTGTCACTCTATTATCGATGAGGGTATTCCTCTTAAGTATAAGGTTAGACATAAGCTCTATAGTAGACTATTTGATAATTCATTTCTAAAGCCAATTGTTTGCCAAATTGATTAACTCAAGGGCGAGCCCTACCATCCCTATCACTTCAACTGCAAGAACTGTGGCGTCGAATTGAATTCTGACGCCCGGACTATTAAAGAGGAACTCTATTGCCTTCGATGTCACGACAAAATGGGAATTCCTATCTGTGGTGCCTGTCATCGGCCCATTGAGGAGCGTATAGTGACAGCACTGGGCAAGAACTGGCACGTCGAGCACTTTGTGTGCGCCAAATGGTATGCATTTTCACCATATTCTCTATATTCTCGTTTACATCTCATATTTTGACAACTTTTTCAATTCAAAACTAATATTTGACTATTTTTTACAAAACAAGCGAAAAGCCGTTTCTGGGACACAGACACTATGAGAAGAAAGGACTGGCCTATTGTGAGACACATTATCACCAATTGTTTGGAAATCTATGCTATGTTTGCAATCAAGTAATTCAGGTATTGTATTGAGTCATTACAACTAAGGGTTATTAACAAAACTGTTGTGTTTGTGTTGACACAAAGGGTGATGTGTTCACAGCACTGAATAAGGCGTGGTGTGTAGAGCACTTCCAATGTTCCTGGTGCGATACCAAACTCAACCAGAAATCCAAGTTTTATGACGTGGATCTTAAGCCGTGCTGTAAAAACTGTTATGCTAAGGTATGTTTGTTCATAATGTATAGCTTTATTGAACTATTATTAAAGTGTACAATATTTTCAACATTTGTATCCAAATATAGTTTCCGACAGAACTGAAGAAACGTCTGAAAAAGCAATACACAGAGAGAACCATTACTACGAAGAGTATTCTTTAATGGATACCATACTTATTGTGGCCTTTAAGCCATTTCGGCTATTATTAAACTATTGATTATTATATTGGAATATATTTCTAACATTAATATATTTTATTCCATTTTATTGAATATATGTTAAACAACTTACGGTAGAAAACGCCAACACTTATTAACTCGTGTTAACTCTATAGTAAAGAATATTCTTAAGAGTTTTTAGATTTTGATGACAAGTGCCATAAAGATATTTCACTAATTTATTTCAGTATATTACACATTTTCTTCATAAACAAAACCTTATATACAATAAGTTATAATAAATTATAAAATTATTAATACAGAACCACATGATTATAACTTATAATTTAAAGTGAATACTAGAAAAGTTTGTTTATTAATTAACGATCAAGTTGAATATTTTACAATAATATAACTTATATATAACAATTATAGTTAATTATTATAATTTTAATTTAATAATATTCTAAGATAATTATAAAATATCTTTGTTTTATTCAAAATAAACTACAATCGACTGCCTTTTGAGTGCCTAATAGTCTATAATTATGTCTAACATTTGACTGTTTCCTTTAAAAATATAGTAATGAATTTATTATATGTATTATTCATTATCTTATAATAAATATTTTTATATTAAAATTATTACTTTATCATGTTTAATTCCATTTTCAATATTCCTTGATGCACAAAAATGACATCAATTTATTGCACAGTATTTAGAGATTTATTGTTTATAGTATAAACATTAAATATTTAATATTTAATGTATAATATAAACTTTATACATTACAAATAGATTTTTATGGATTTTTAGCTACAGTTTGTATTTAATTATATTATTGATAGATTTCATAAACTTTTAAACTACTTATCATTTATGAATATATTTTTAATTATTGTTTTATGTTAGAACATATCGTTTTACTCGTACAGGTAAGCTTTCTAAGATAATAAGTATAAATTTATATTCTGCAAGGTTTGCTGCAAAATATAATACATAATCATAAATTTTTATTTACTCAAAATTTTATTTGTTTTATGAGATATTGTTTTATGAATAATATATAATTCATATTTTATTTGCAAATCTCTGATACAAAGTATTGTGCTTATTATTGATTAAATAATAAATATAAAGGCTTTTCAAGTAAACTATTCCATGGAATCAATTACTGACTGCAAGTCAATCAATTCCTTGGTATCAAAGCCTAGAGTTGTGTAGTTTATTATGATTTAAATACAGGAAATGAAATTCAAAAATAAATCATAGTTAAAATAATAAAAATACATTAAATATTTAACTGTAGATATAAAGGCTATTTTGTCTTAAAATTAGTAGCAGTGATTATCACTGCTTTGGTCATTATTGATAGGACCAAATAAAACAATCACTCACCATCATCTATAAATAAACCATTTAATGCTTTTCACGTGCATTAATGATTTTCATGCAAATAATCTTTGATTTGATCTTTATAAAAATAACCAGTTTACTTAAGTATTTATGTAATAGTAAATGGCAAAAAGTAAATTCATTGATGACTAGTTGTAATGCATAGTTGTACTAATAAAAATATAATATTCTTTATATAAATCCAAATATAATTTGATTTTCAAAATAATTTCATACTTACCACATATTTTTAAAATGTTTGCTAATTATTCAAGAAATCAAACACATAGTCCTTCATCTTTCAAAGATTTTTTTGTAGACTATAATAATCACAGATATAATGCAAACCATTCATCTGATCGCAGACATAGTGATGGAAATTCTGTAATTGATATTAATAGCCATTATAACTGTTGGCAATATGTGTTTAAATTAATGGTCATAATTGGATGTGCATTGGGCTGTGGCTGGCAATGCATATCTATTCTCAACTTATTCTTCTCATTTCCAAGTATTGTCTTCGTATACGTCGAGACCATGGATCAGTTAGAACTGCCCGGTATTACACTCTGCAATAGTAATCGGTTTGTATTATAAACTATATATTCAGTATTTATTATGATAATTTATGTTTAATATAATATTTTTGCTTTTATTATAAGTGTAATGATGTCTAAATTAAGAGAATTTAATAAAACATTTGACAAAATTTGGAGCACTTATGACGAGACTAATGATGCAGATGACGATAATTCAACTAAACTAGTAAGCAATTTGTTTGAATTACAGTAAATTATTGTCTAAATTATTTGAATTGTAATATAGGATAAGCAACAAATAATTGACGACACGATTCGGACTCTTCTAAACTCATTGACTGTCAATGATTTCATGAGATTGGGTCACACGGCCGATGACTTCTTAGTGCCACAATATTTCAGATGTGCCACCGATGCCTTTCACCCAAATGAACAGTGCAGGTGTCTATTTCATGACAAGTTCTATCATTGTTTTTATATTTATAATAATTACAAAATTTGACAATCGTATACCTTTAATACAAAATCAAATTTATAGGAAATATGCAGATGTTCTAACAACTGCTCAAGAAGTTGGTAAGGATTTAAAAGATAACTTTATAATAATTTCAATATTCTTAATAGGCCAAATAATTATGTAGTTTTAAATTTAATTTAAAACTTGAAAATTAAAATATAACCATTAAATTAAAAAATTATATCTAGTAAGTTTTAAAAGTAATAAACTAATAATTTGTAGGTAACTGTTGGACACTATTTCATAAATCGACATCAAATGTATTGAAAGATATCGCAATACAGTCGGGACTCTCACAGTCGCCAGTGATAAGAGGTAATGGGGAAGCAGTAGACCTGGAACTGGCGGATCAGCCCTTCCATCCCAATGAAATCTTGCGAATTAAGATTAACTTCAGTGCCTCTGAATACACAACTCTTAACGATGAAGTGTTCGGTCACTTCATTGTTCACGACGACAACCAATTGCCGCCCATTAGAGAGAAAAACTTTTATATATATCCGGGTTATTACTACGAGTTCTTTCTTCTCAGACAAACCGATTTGCTTTTACCGAAACCCTATGCAACCGATTGTGTCGACTATTTCTCACTGCCAGTCAATACAAGTCATAGCGATTCTAATGAATATCTCAATCATCCACTCTCTAAAGAAAACTGTATTATTGGATGTATGGCTGAAAATACAATTGAAAAGTGCAACTGTTGGCCACCGGAACTACCATTCCTTAAGGGTTCAGATTCGGAAGCTGTGGAGAACAAGGTTAAGTGGTGTGACTGGAATACTGGCCCTCAGATCACAAATGTTGAGAAAAGTGAAAAGAGTGCCAACGAGTCGTGGTTTAAGTTTTGTTTCACAGAACATGAGAAACAATGTAATGAAAAGTGCAAACTTGATTGTCAGTATGTATTCTATACTAATCCGTATTCAAATACACTATTTTTGGTTTAATAATCAATTTAGTTATTTAATTAATTATAATTATACTGTACTGACAGCACTGATAGATACACAATAATCCAACAAAAAAGGGATTGGCCCGCAAAGGAGCGAATTGTAAGTGATTTAATTTTTAATACTAGTACTACTAAATTGCTTAATAGAAGTGAATCTAATCAAATAAATCTGTATCAATATTGTAAATTTGCACCCTTATTAAAAATAAAGCATTTTTATAGAAAATTTTGAAAAAAACTAGTTCAGAAATAACTATTTAATCATGCAAATTAATATTGTAGTCGTAAAGACCTGCTTTTAAGCCCTGCTAAATTTCTTTTTTAAATACCGTATATTTAATAATGTATGTCAAATTATAAGTCATAAAATATGATTACATGCAAGTAAGGTGAATAATATAATATTGAAATATGAGCAAGTACGATTAATAATGAATCTCACTATACTGTAAAGATTGTGTGTGTGTTGCAGGAACACAGCAAACACTCCGAAAGTCTACTCGAGAATCACAAATGTTGTGCAACTGTTTCGCTGAGGTATTGGAGTGCAGAGCATACTATCAATAAATATGAGCCCAAATATGAGGTTAACAATTAAGTTTACATTTTCAACAATATGTTCATTTAACACATTTATAACATGATTTAATTAGATATCGGAATTTATAGCTTATTTGGGAGGACTGTTGAGTATGTGGTTAGGCTTCTCACTCGTGAGGAGTTATAATATCATAGAGTTTGTATCGATTCGGTTCTGTCAGAGAAGAGCTGAACATAAGCGTCAATCAAGACTCGAACAATCAATGCTTTCTAACTATGAATCCAAACACAAACTAAAAGTTCCCCAAAACAAGAGAAGAGTTCATCAAAACATTGATAAATGGCATCAAATTAAACCAAAAGTTTCACATTTATTAACTATAAACTCAATCGATCCACAGATGATTTATGAACCACCAAAGCTATCGATTACCAAACAAACCACTATTTAAATAAATTGCATGTTTTGGGAATAAACTAAGTTTTGAGTAATAATTTTATAGTATATCAAATATATTCAATAGTAACGGTGTCCCAGCGTATTAGCAGAATTTGAAATTAAGATTTTAAATATTTACAATTATATTTTTCTAACAAAAACTACACCAAAATGTTGGAAATTTATTCACATTTTATGTACGATTCATAAAATTTTCATAAAATTCATACCCTGATCATAATTTTAGTTTTACCGCTTGCATCGCTTTTTTTGCGTAATACTATAGGAATACAACAGTCACTGAATGCTCGCATCAATGCTTTGTATTCATAGCGCTCTAAGAAATTCACGATTTTTTGGAATAAAAACAGACATGCATTAAAACTAAAATTATGACCAGGGTATGAATTTTATGAACATTTTATGAATTGCACATAAAATTTTAATAAATTTCCAACATTTTGGTGTAGTTTTAGTTTGAAAAATATAATTGTAAATATTTTTAATTTTAATTTCAAATCCTGATAATACGCTGGGACACCCTATATATACAAAGTATTTTGTTACTCAATACCACTTTAAAATAATTAGTTAGAGTTATTATTTAAATTTATTACTTAAATTGCAGGTATATTAGGCTTATTAAATACTTTGCACGATTGTCTTATTTCATTAAAGTACTTTACTTATATTCAGAATATAATAACACCAAAATATCATTAAGATAATATATTCACAAATACTTTCGTATTATTGATAAAATATTGACTATCGATTACTATCCCAGTTCTTTAAAAAAAATTCTTAAAGTTCTTGATGCTATTATTGTATGATTTAATTATTTAATTAGTTATTGGAATTTATTATATAATTTTGGTAGACATGATATTAAAGTATACATTTTGCACTCATGCTGTGGAATAAATATTATAAAAGTTTAAATAGTTATCATTCATTTCCAAAGTATTTTTAACTAAAGTAAGTAAAAGTAACTTCAATTGACGTGAATATTTGAATATATATTGTAATTATAAAATCGTTGTTTCAATAATAAAATATATTAATTAATAAATGAAACAAATTATACTTATAATAATTTAATAAGACTTTGAGGCCACCATCTAGGTCCTAGATTCTAGGGTAACGCCGTTCTTAAAGGTACTGTTAGAGTACTGTTATACAGTATCGTATCTTAAACTTTGAGAGAATAAACATGATCAAATACTGTATTCATAATTGTAACACAGTAGTCTACAAAGTATATTGATGATTCCAATGTAATTTAATTGAACATATGACCACACAATATGACAAATATTTGTATCCAGTATATTGTGGCAAAAAACAATAATTCTTGTATCCATTCGTAATCATACAGTTTTGCAATACATTATTCCCTTAAGGGGCTCACAAACAGTGCATTGCAGTGGAGGCCTGTATTTGACAGACTGTATGCCAGAGTGCAATACCATTGCAATAGTGAGGCATTCATTCATTCATTCATTCAGTGTTTTGCTGTCAAATCAATTCAATTGAATTGTCGTTCATTTATGATAATCAAGTCACACATCATTACCACTCATTTGTCATCAACTCTATGATCATCTGAAGTATTACTTCATTCATAGGATTGCCGCACAAGAGCTTAGATCTAAGACTACAGAGTCTTAGTTATATTTTTGGTGACAATATGTCTGAAGCGACCAATTCTGGTGGTAAATATCGACTTCAATAATGATTTTAAAGTGATTTGAGATTTAATTAATTGGTTGTCACTATTGATTAGATCCCACAAAAGATGGTAACAAACAAACCAAACAAATAAGTTGTTTTGAATGAAATAAAATGCAATTTTATATGACATAAGAG